TAATCTCTTTAAATGATAATTGACTATTTAAAGCAAAAATACAAATGAAGTATAAGATTTCTAACATGTGGAAGTAAACTGTATAACAATAGCACCAAGGACCAGGGAAATGGAAGTATACTCTTTTAAGAATCTTACACTATACCTGAAGTCATTTGTCATTTAAGGCAGAGGATGATAAGTTAAAGATATAGAATATAAATCCTAGAGCAGCAGTTCAAAGACATCGTCTTAGCACCCTTTATACCAAGAGTCAGCAAACCTTTCCTATTAAGGACGATATAATAAACATAGGCTTTCTGGGCCATAAAAAAGGGTCAATAAATCTCAGACGACCAAAATAATATCGGTATGTTATGGGACTACAACAAAATCAAATTAGAAATATGTAACACAAATATATTAGAAAAAGACCAAAATAACTGGAGATTAAACAACATAGTTCTAAACAATCCATGGGTCAAAACAAAACACCCACAACATAAATAAGAAAATATTTAACTGAATAAAAACATAGCACATCTAAAGTTGTATCTGCAAGTGATTAAAGAGAAAGTAATAATTTTAAGCGCCTACACGAAGTTATTAAAAAAAAAAAAATCAATGATTTAAGCACACACCTTAAAAAGAAAATGAAGTCAATTTAAACCAAAGGTAGAAAAAAAGGAAATAACTTAGAGTAGTTATCAGTAAAGTAGAAAATGGATAATACATAAAATAAAAAATAGAAAAGATTAATTGATAGATCCTTAGCAGCACTGACCAAAAACAAAACACCAAAAGCATATCAGGAAGAGGGGGGGGAGGCGGGACTTCAACAAATAAAGATAACAGATATAAAAGAATAATTAATGAAGTCTGGATATTATGAACAACTTTATGCCAATAAATTCAATATATTTAAGCAAATTTTCTCAAAAGAGAAAATTAATCAAAACTGACATAAAAAACAGAAAATCTAAATACCCTGTATCTAGTAAAGGAATTAAATATCAATCAAATTCCCACAAAGAAAATCCAGGTCCAGAAAAAATTCACTGGTAAATTATTTCAAGTATTTACAGAAATAATACCAGTCTTACACAAACTCATTTAGAAAAGAGAGGGCAGGGACACCTGGGTGGCTCAGTTGGTTAAGGGACTGCCTTCGGCTCAGGTCATGATCCCAGGGTCCTGGGATGGAGTCCTGCATTGGGCTCCCTGCTCAGCGGGGAGTCTGCTTCTCCCTCTCCCACTGCCTCCCCCTGCTTGTGCTCTCTCTGACAAATTCTTAGTATGTCCCCAAATAAAAATATCAATACCCCTCATGAACATATATACAAATATCTTCTTTAAAAATGAGAAAATTAGGGCGCCTGGGTGGCTCAGTTGGTTAAGTGACTGCCTTTGGCTCAGGTCATGATCCTGGAGTTCCGGGATCGAGTCCCGCATCAGGCTCCCTGCTCAGCAGGGAGTCTGCTTCTCCCTCTGACCCTCCCCCCTCTCGTGTGCTCTCTTTCTCTCATTCTCTCTCAAATAAAATAAATAAAATCTTTAAAAATAAATAAATAAATAAAATAAAATAAAAAATGAGAAAATTAAATCCAGCAATGCATAAATGAGATAAATACATCATGACTCAATGGGTTTGTCCCAGTTCTCAAAGTGTTTGTGAACCCCTGTTGGTCTCTGAAATTCTTTCACAGGGCAAGATCAAAACTATTTTCATAATGCTAAGATGTTATCGTCCCTTTTTCACTGTGCTGACATCTGCACTAATGGTGGAAAATCACTTGAGGCTAAAAATTTTAATAGTTTCGCACACATCAAAGTAATGATATCAAATAAATTGGTTAAAATGATTAATTTTATTAAATCTCAACCTCTGAATACATTTCTTTGTGATATTCTGTGTTATGAAATGGGAAGTACCCATTCAAAAAAGACTTACTTGTCCTGGCAACCAAGATCTCCTTCAGTAGGTGAATAAAACTGTGGTATTCAGAAAATGGACTATATTCATCACTAAAAAGAACTGAACTATCAAAGCCATGAAGAGATATGAAGGAAATTTAAATGCATATTACTAAGTGAAAGAAGTCAATCTGCAAAGGACACATACTGTAGGATTCCAACTACATGACATTCTGGAAAAAGGCAAAACAATGGAGACAGTAAAAATATCAATGGTTGTCAGGGGGCTGAAGGGATGAATAGGCAGAGCACACAGAATTTGGGGGGGTAATAAAACTACTCTGTATGACACTATAATGGTAAATACATGTAATCATACATTCGTCCAAACCCACAGAATGTATAACACCAAGATTTGAATCTAATGTAAACCACGGACTCTGGGCAACAATGATGTGTCAATATAAGTTCACCAATTATAACAAATGTGGTACACCTGGGTGGCTCAGTCGGTTAAGCTTCCGCCTTGCGGCTCGGGTCATGACCCCAGGATCCTGGGATCAAGTCCCACATCGGGCTCCTTGCTCAGCAGGGAGCCTGCTTCACCCTCTGCCTGCCGCTCCCCCTGCCTGTGAACTTGCATGCACACATGCTCTCATGCTCTCTCTGACAAATTCTTTAAAAGAAAAATTATAACAAATGTGCCATCCTGGTAGGGGATGTTGGTAATGGAGGAGGCTCTGCATGTGTGGGGAAGAGGATATATATGAAAGCTCTGTTTCTTCCACTCAGTTTTTGCTGTGAACCTAAAACTGTTCTAAAAAATAAAGTCTATTAAAACTATATCAGTGGGGCGCCGGGACAGCTGTCGGTTAAGCATCCAACTCTTGATGTCCGACTCAATTTTGGCTCAGGTCATGATCTCAGGATTGTGAGATGGAGACCTGTGTCAGGCTCCTGCTGGGCACAGGGCCTGCTTAAGATTCTCTCTCTCACTCGCTCTACCCCTATACCCCCTCCCTCTCTCTAAAAAAATCAATCAAAATATATATGAAAATAATCAAGAAATAACACATCTGCATACCAAAATATGATCATTTTCTTCAGGATAAGCTTGTGTAAATGTCTGAGCTGCAAACTGGACTAGTTCCTTTTTCAATGGAATATCATTTTTACTTAAAACTACAAATTATGGGTTTTTATACTCAAGTATTTAGCCAACATTTTCTCAAAAATAAATGAAGTGAGCTTGCTGCCTTAGGAAAAACTGACTACATATAGTTGCCAATGACAAAATTAGAGCTTTTGAGAGAAAATTAGAATTTTATATCTGTCACTATGTACTTGGCACCTTCCCTGTTACAGACAAATAGATTTTTATGCACAAAAGGTCACTGATGTGGTTTCTACCACAAACTAACCAATGATAAGCTATTGCATGTTGAGTTTGGGTGTACTATGAAAGAAAAATGTTCACAATTTTATCCGAAAGGATACCTCCCCTTTTCCAACTGTTTATGTGAGGCCAGGTTTCTTATATATACCTCAACTAAAACAACATATCACAACAGACTGAATGCAAAAGCAAATATGAGAATTCAATTATCTCTATTAAGCTAGATTTTCAAGAGATTTGCAGAAATATAGAACATTGCCAGTCCTTTCACGATATTTTTGGGAAAACATTTCAAAATATAAAATTAACATGTAATGGATTTGTCATTGTTATTTCTAAATAAATAGGTTTTTTAATTTCAGTTTTAATTTCTAATATGGTAAATGTCAATAGATATAACTAATATATATGAAACTCTGGGGTTTAAAAATAATAATTTTTAAGAGTATAAATGGGGCTGCAAAAACCAAAAAAATTGAGAGTTGCCCATCCCAGGAATGTACCGTTTAACAATTAAAAAATCAATGAGGGGCACCTGGGTGGCTCAGTCGGTTAAGCGTCTGCCTTTGGCTCAGGTCATGATCTCAGGGTCCTAGGATAGAGCCCATCGGGCTCCTTGCTTAGTGGGGAGTCTGCTTCTCCCTCTCCCTCTGCTCCTCCCCCCCTTGCTCATGTACCCACGCTCTGTCTCTCAAATAATCTTTAAAAAAATAAAAATAAAAATCAATGAAATTAACCAGATTATCAGAATGAAGTAGGAAAATCATATGATCTTTTTAATAACCTAACAATTCAACAGCCATTCATAATTTAAAAGGTCTTAGTGAACGAGCTAGGATAAGACAAAAGATGCCCATTCTCACCACTTTCTATTCAACACTGTATTATTAAAAATAATATAGCCCAGAGAAACAAGGCAATAAAAAGAAATAAAAATCATAAAGATTGGAAAGGAAGTAAAAATACCTCTATTTGCAGATAACATGCTCATGTACATAAAAAGAAAACCCCAGTGGAATCTAGAAAATAACTAATGAAACTATTAAGTGAATTTAGCAAGGTTACAGGATGAAAAGGATCTGTATTTTTATAATCTATCCATGAACACCAGAAAACACAATTTTTTAAAATATCATTTAACAGCCACGAAACCTTAAGTTCAGAGACTCTAACAAAAACCATGAAGATCCTACGCTAAGAAGCTACAAAACTCAGTTTAAGAGAATATAAAGACCTAAATAGAGTACATCATTTTAAGGATTTTAATACTCAGTACTGTTAAAATGCCCATTTTCCCCAAACTGAACAATGAACCAATACAATCTCAAAATTCCAAGAGTCCATTTGTAAAAATTGACACATTCTAAAATTATAAGGAAATGCAAAGAAGCTAAAACAGCTAAGATATTCTTGCAGAAGTTGGAGAACTTACATTATCTCATTTCAAGACTTATTATAAAGCTTTAATCACTAAGACCATGTGTACTAGCATAAGTTATAATCAAATGTATCAATGAAACAGGAGTCCAAAAGTAAACCTATAACAGATTTTCAAAAAAGATTCCAAGACAAGTCAATGGGAAAAGGAGAGTATTTTCAAAGGATAGTGCTGGAACAACTGGATATATATATACGGAAAAAAGGCATTTGGAATGCATTTGTAATAATTAAGAAACTGAATTATAGTAAGTGCTCTTATGATAATACTTACATTTTTTATTTTGATGTTTCCCCAATCATCATCCTGTTTTAAAAACAAATGAAAAACATTTAACCACTCCTGTATAATCTGAACATATTCTAATAATCAATGAATTTAAGCTACTCCAAAATAGAATAAATTTTTTGTTTGCAGATTTTACTTAAAATTACTATAATCAAAAGTACTTTTTTAAAAATGCAGTCTTAAAGTCAGTAAGTCTTACAGTTGCTTAAACTACAAAAGACACAATCTAAAAGACAATAAACCTAACTATACCAAAAGGACTAAAAAACACTTAATGACAGATACTAATTTTTTTGCATGTTTGTTACATGTATGGAACCAGCAAAACTAATAATTAGCTTATGTGACAGGAATGAAGAGTAACTTATGAAATAAGGTCTACATAATTAGAATGATTATATAATTTACTATCCAAAGCAGGAGATTTTTTTTTTTTTTTTTAATTTGACAGAGAGAGACACAGCAAGAGAGGGAACACAAGCAGGGGAGTGGGAGAGGGAGAAGCAGGCTTCCCATGGAGCAGGGAGCCCGATGCGGGGCTCGATCCCAGGACTCTGGGATCATGACCTGAGCCGAAGGCAGACACTTAACAACTGAGCCACACAGGTGCCTCCAAAGCAGGAGATTCTTGAGAATGAAAGTGCTATTAAAAATTATACCAGGACGGGATGCCTGGGTGGCTCAGTTGTTAAGCATCTGCCTTCGGCTCAGGTCATGGTCCCAGGGTCCTGGGATCGAGTCCCACATCAGGCTCCCTGCTCAGTGGGAAGTCTGCTTCTCCCTCCCCCACTCCCCATGCTTGTGTTCCCTCTCTCGCTGTCTCTCTCTGTCAAATAAATAAAATCTTTAAAAAAAATTTTTTTTTAAATTATACCAGGACTACCAGAGGAAAACTAACCCTTAATAACATTTGCTGTGTCTACAAATGTTTTTAAAGTCCTAAATTTCATATCTATGAAGTAATTACTTTCACTTCAATATATTCAGTTAAAACAATTTTTTTTATTTTTTATTTTTTTTTTTTTTTTTTATAATTTTATTTATTTATTTGACAGAGAGAGACACAGCAAGAGAGGGAACACAAGCAGGGGAGTGGGAGAGGGAGAAGCAGGCTTCCCACTGAGCAGGGAGCCCGATGTGGGGCTCGATCCCAGGACCCTGGGATCATGACCTGAGCCGAAGGCAGACGCTTAACGACTGAGCCACCCAGGCGCCCAAAACAATTTTTTTTAATGCCATGACTGGCCCCCAGATATCTTGGCCTACTGCAGCTAAGCCCTTTCCCTTCACAGGATAAAGTCATTTCCACATTACTTCTTTCTTAAACAAGATGCCAGGCATGCAATATGCTTTTCCATTTGGTGGTGCCACTAATTATCTCTTTGGACATCCTGCTTCAAAGTGCAACAGTAACTTCCTAAATGTCCTTCTCAGTTTAAGGGCCATTTCTATTAATCATAAGGAATGATAACTATATATGCTCCCTCAGATCACTTATCTAAGGTCACACCAAGCTGAAAAATGAACCGAGATCGGCTTGACTTGTAAATCACAGGCTCTTCCAGTACCTTGCTATAGGTTACTTAAATCTCTGATGCTAAGTTTTCTCATTTATGAAATTATAAAATATATTTACGTTCATTTTTAAAAAACAAAGAGTTGAGAATTAAAGAAAATAAAAGCCTGGCACAGAAAATTATTCAATAAGTGATAGCTATTAGTAGTCAGTTTCATTTACATACCATTTCTCTGTAATTCTCCACAGTACATCACCAGTATACAGCTCATCACAAATTCAATTATCAAGTTCACTAATGACTAAAAAGCTCATACTGCAACTTGGAGGGGAAACAATGTTTTCTTCACCAACATCAATTTTACTGCCCAGCTGACAGGGGCAACCAAGCCGTATCTCTAAAGTTAACTACAGCTCTTTGGCATTTCACACCAAACTCTTGAGGATAATATTTTTTTAAAACTCTACTTCCATAGTTTTACAAACAATAATACTTGCACCTTGTTGTGGCCCGTCACCAATGATGCCAGTAAGTTTACAGGCTCCTAACTGTAGTCAATATGACCAAGGAAACTAAAGGAAAAATTATGTTCTCCTTTTAAACACAAATTTTTTTCTCCCACCTCCAAACAGTTTTTACACAGTGATTACACCCTAAGTGATAGGAGCCCTTTTTTAATGGGTAGAATATGAAACAGGCCAAAAGAAAAAATTAACAATTTTCCAGTATTCCAGAAGTGGGGCTTTGGTAAAGATGTTGAAGTATTTTGAATTTCAACATTTGAATACATGTAAAAAAATACCTTCTGTAGTTTTTTTTTTTAATCTACCATACTGTTCCGTATTTTTAACAGAGATAAAATTTTCTCCGCCCCATAACAGAAAACTAAGGATATATAGATTTTTATATTAATCTAAACAAAATAAAATACTTTTAACACACCCTCATAGAGAAAAAAATCCAAACAACAGAGATAAATGGAAAGTTCCTCACTCCCCTGACTCCTAGGAGTAGTCACTGATACAATGCATTTTAAAATGAAAATTTTAATGATGCTTTTATAACACAGTGTTTTGAAATGGCTACAATGTTCCTTCCTACCCTAACATGAATAAGACAGTTTTAAATTCATATAGACTATGTACTCTCACCAAAAAAAAAAAAAAACCCTCAAGTGCTACATTTTCTGGTGTTTGTTTCCACTAATTATATAATAGTATAGAATGAAAATCTGGACTAAATTTTACCTTCAATGTTCCTCCTTTCACCATAACTTTCTGTCTGGCCGGCTGGACTCCAGTCAGTGCAAAAAGCTGAGCCTTGAACACCATCGGAGGTTCATCAGTGTTCAACTCTACACCTTCAAATTTCTCCTTTCCCCATTTCACGGTAACTGCAAACAAAACCATAATTTATTTTTTTCATTTATAAAATAAAAGGACTTCAGATTTAGAAGATCCCTAGAGGACCCATTAGTTTGGCTTTCAAGAACTAGCCTATGTCATTCCTCTTATATGCTCATACTGTCTACCCCATCGGGAGTGACTTGAATGTAGTAGGTCCTGAATAAAACTTAACTGAACCCAATCCAACTTCTCATTTCATAAACGGAGACTTAAGAGAAGATGATTGATTTACTAGTCACAAAACTAGTTGGCAAATACTCAAGCCTTCTGAATCCTACTCTAATAATCTCAGAAAAATATGATCACTCTGGAATATTTCCCAGAATAAGGTTCAGACTTCAAAATGTGTTTAACAATTATTAAAATCAGTACATACTGCTGGAATAGAAAGAGTAAAGAAAAATTAGAAAGATAACTAAAAAAGAAAAAAATTTTTGGAAAAATAAAGCATATTTAAAACAGGTTAAGGAATACTGAATTATACTGAATTATAAGAAACGTTCCATGGGAGAATTGAAAGGTGTGGTTCCTAAGCAAGGGTGGTTAAATATTAAGAATCCAAAGATATAACTAAATCATTAAAAAATACAGAAATCTTACTTCAGTCATTTGGATGGCTATTAAAAAAAGAAGACGAAGAAGAAGAAAATACCAAGTGCTGGTGAGGATGTAGAAAACCTAGTACCCTCAAGCATTCCTGATGGGAATATAAAACAGTACAGCCACTGCAGAAAAAAGTATGGTGGTTCCTCAAAAAATTAAACTTATCATATGATCCAGCAATTCCTTTCTAAGTATATACTCAAAAGTGTGAAGCGGGGACTCAAACTGCTATTTGTATACCCCTGTTCATAGTGCATTATTCACAAAAGCCTCAAAGATGTGAGTGATCCAAGTGTCCATCAACAGACAAACGGATAAACAAAATGTGGTACAGACATAAAATGGACATTATTCAGCCTTAAAAAGTAATGAAATTCTTTTTTTTAAATTTTTTTATTGTTATGTTAATCACCATACATTACATCATTAGTTTTTGATGTAGTGTTCCATGATTCATTGTTTGTGCATAACACCCAGTGCTCCACGCAGAATGTGCCCTCTTTAATACCCATCACCAGGCTAACCCATCCCCCCACCACCCTCCCCTCTAGAACCCTCAGTTTGTTTTTCAGAGTCCATCGTCTCTCATGGTTCATCTCCCCCTCCAACTTACTCCCCTTCATTCTTCCCCTCCTGCTATCTTTTTTTTCTTAACATATATTACATAAAAGTAATGAAATTCTTATACATACTATACAACATGGATGAACCTTGGAGTCATTATGCTAAACAAAATAAGCCAGATGCAAAAAGTCAAACATTATGATTTCCTTTATGTGAAGTATCTACAGTAGTCAAACTGAGAGACAGAAAGTAGAATGGTGGTTGCCAGGAGGCTGGGAGGAAGAGGAAACGGAGAGTTATTGTTCAATGGGTACAGAGTTTCAGTGTAGGAACATGAAAAAGTTCTGAAGGTGGATGGTGATGATGGTCGCACAACAGTAGGAATGTACTTATCGCCAAAAATGTACACTTAAAAATGGTTAAAATAGTACACTTTTTGTTACATATATTTTACCATATAATAAAAAAATTTCAATTGGCCTCATGAAATAGCTAACTTTTGAAATACATAAAAATAACATAAGGATATACATAGCTTATTTCCACTGAAAACTTCATACCTACTCAAATGAGAATCTCACAACTAACAGTTGTCTGGTTTGGTTTTTTTAAGATTTTATTTATTTATTTGACAGAGAGAGATATAGCCAGAGAGGGAACACAAGCAGGGGGAGTGGGAGAGAGAGAAGCAGGCTTCCCGCGGAGCAGGGAGCCAGATGTGTGGCTCGATCCCAGGATGCTGGGATCATGACCCGAGCCGAAGGCAGATGCTCAAAGACTGAGCCACCCAGGTGCCCCTGTTTTCCTACTAAAACCAAAATATAAAAACTAATCCTTACTCCAAATCCCAACTCCTTCACTAGTTCAATTACTGTGTTTAGCATTCATTCAATAAGCCCCAGAACAAGCACTGGGAAGATGCTATGACCTTAGAATCTAATAAGAGAGAGAAAAGGGGGAGAAAAGGTCAAAATAATTAACAATATAAGTATTATAAATGCTACAGGATCACAAAGGAATGCTTCATGAGCGAAGGATTCCCTGGAGGAAGTGGTAACTTTGGGTTCTAACTATCAACTCTGAGTCTCAAAGAAAAATATTAGGTGTTAGACACTTAAAATATAAGCATTCCTGGAAAAGATAAGAAAAAGATCAAAAGCATAAAACATTACGTGTTCTGAGATTTAAGTAATTCCTTGAGAGAAGGGAAGGAAGCTGAAACTAGAAGCTGGTGAATGATCGAGTCACAAAAGATAACGTTAAGTCATGGTAAAACATACAGGCTTTGGGCTTTAATGTTATAGAAATGCAGTATCTGTGAAAGGTTTCCATAAAGGCCACTTTAGTCTGGTTTCAACATCAGATCACTCTAGCAGCAGCTGGGAAAAATGGGTGTGAAGAGGGCACAACTGTAATCTTTAAATAAACTAGGAACAGAGAACAATGTACAAGTAAAAGATAAGACTAAACCAAAACAGTATCAGAAATAATGAAGAGGAACCTATCTGAAATTGATTTAGCTGTGTCACCATGAACAAGTTACTTAAACTTTCTGCATACCCATCAAAGAGAATTATACCAGTATCACAGGATTATGTTGAAGATTAACACAAAGCAACATGTATAAAAACACTAGCTTTGTGCCAGACATACAGGTGTTCATTAATTTTTACAGCACTTATCCTTAACCATATACAAATCTATTTAATTTTCTACTAAAACTTATGAAATGGTACTTAAAATATTCTCATTTTAATATAGGGATTTTTGCAGATCCTGAAAATATAAATTCTGAATATGGAGAGGTCAAAGAAGAAACCTGAGACATCTACTCCAATTCTCTCATTTTGGAAATAAGGAAAAGATATGGTTAAATATTTAAGATAAAACTTAATGTTAAGATAGATAGTTTGGTGAATATAAGTATTTTTTGAGGGGAACAAAGAGGGGGGTTAGTGGTGTTGTGAGTCTACCAGTGTGTTTAAGTATTAGCATACACTGGTATTTATCGCCATCACTCATTAATAACCCCTCAATTCTACATTGCATAAATAGAAAATTTCAAGTACCATTCTACTCTTAATCTTGGCTTTATAAAGAGGTTGAGCAATCATTAAAGCATTCAATTCAAGATTCTAGAACACCAAGAATCCACCTCGAAATTAAACATTACTCCTTTGTTTCATATCATTCTTTGAAAATGCTGAATCTTCAATAAAGGAATTATGATAAAGTCAGGAATGGCCAATGAATCATACATCCATAGTGAACCGAAGTCAACACATACGTTTTAGGTGCCATTTTGAATAAGACTAAGAACAGCAAGGTCCATTAACTAAACGCAAATGTGATCCCTGGCTAATACCTTGGACTGCCTCAAGCAAAATAAAATAAAAACTGTCAAACGCCTTTTAAAAGGAAATGACGCCTGCGGGTATTTGCATTCACCTAAGACTCAAAGCTAACACTATGATTCAGACATAGAAACCCAATATAACGTTTGATGAAATGAAAACAAAGCATAAAGCTCACAGTCTACCTCGGGATAAAACTGAAATTCGTACAAAATGGGTGTCTGAGCCAAAGGCAGCAAGGCGTAAGCTATGGGGAGCTGTTAAGGGAAACCCCAAGCACCATGAAAGCTAACCTTCCATCCCTCCCTTACCTCAGGCTTCCCCCTCCTTGACCCTCCCCTTCCACAGCTACCACTAACGAGTCCAAGAAAATCCCACTACACCTCTAGCCTGGTCCCGGGTACCTGGGGAGGACACACCCTCACCACTCGTGGCTCACTAGGACAGCGACAAAAACTATTCTGCAGAGTCACCACTCCGAGGAGCTGACTGGTGCTCCCCATCCCCACTCGCCACCCACCCGGGCCAGAAGGGACAGCGATCCCTCAGGTTGTAGAGCTCGGAAATAGCGGGCAGAAAGGGGCCAAGTCGTCGCCACGCCGCAGTGCCCCCCACCCATGCCTGACCGGTCCCCTCCCCCGCCCCGTGCTCAGCCTGGTGCCTGCCCTGCAGGCCCGGCCTACTCAGAGGCCTAGCGCAGGACGGAACTGCAGGGCGAGGAAGGAGCTCACCGGAATAAAGCGGCATGGCGGCACAAGAGACGGCGGCGGTGCAGGAAGGCTGGGCCAGGCAAGGGCGTCGAAGGGAAAGGGACGCGATGAAGCAGCGGCGGCAGCCAAGGCAGAGGCGCGTAGTGGCGGCAGCACGGGTGCGACGAGAGTCTCATTCAAACCGGCCACTGGCGATGACGCAGCAACACGCAGTTTGCCCGCCCGCGGAGCCACAGGGCGACTGCAGGAGAAGACCCGGCGCGCCGAGCGGGCGAGGCGGGGCCTGGAGGGTGGAGAGCTGAGGGAGGTGGGAGGGGAAGCCGCCGGGCGCGCGGCCCCTGCCCAGTACAGGTGCACGCCTGCGCCTGCGCAGTGCCCTGCGCTGGACCGCTCCCTCCGCCGAGTGGGCCTGGCCCTGCCCCGCCTCGCCCACGCTGGGTGCGAACCTGGTACCCCGCAGCTGTCCTTTTAAAAAAGTCTTTCTTTCCAAAGAGTGGTTCAGTTCGAGCTGGGCTTTTTTTTTTCTTGTTAATATAGCCAGTAGAAGAGCTCAGAGAGGCCCTGCTCCACCCCTCACTGGGTCTGTCTACTTACCAAAAAATACCCAGCTCTTTTTTGTGACAAAATGCGTATCAAAAGGCTTTGAATACTGCAGAGATAGGCCTGCCTTGACTGTAATGTATTACTGTCGTTTCTAACAACCGGTCAGACTCTAGGTTGGAGCTAGTAAGATAGCAGAAAAAAATGCCCTGCGTTGGTGGGTGTTGCCCGTAGCCCTCCACTTACTTGTCCTGGACCTGTTTCCCCAATCTGGAAAAAGAGAGAATTCAACTGGATGGTTTCAGAGGCCTCTTCTAACTCTAAATTGTCGTGGGAGAGGTAAAGTGTAGCATTCTAGATGAGAAGTAGAACCTATAAGTGAAAGGAGAAATTTCAAAGAAATTCAAGTCAAATTTGAGGTACTTTCTTGCTTTATAGAGGCTTTATTTTGATTCCAAATGCTGCAAAAGTGTTGAAACTATCCATATGTCAAGACAAAAATTTTCCGCGTTTCAAAACGCTACATCCCATTCAGACCGATTTCATGAATATACATCAGGAGTCATTTTCACCCTTCACTACTTCAAGACCTATGAGAATAGGATCCAAATGTGACGGAAACAGCACAACGATGCTGTAGAATATTTTTCAAAGTGATGTATGTAATATTAAGTGGAAAGGGTGTATCAAACTTACTGAGCATTATGATTGCAAGTACGTAAAATTAAAATTGATGGTCACAAAGATTTGTCTGAATCCAGTTATTACTAGCTGTAATACAACTTCAGTTTCCTTCTCTATGAAATCAAGAATAATATCTACATTATAGGATTCCTATGAAGATTAAATAAAATTACATATAGAAGATGCTTAGCACAGAGCATTGCACCTAGTATGCCACAAATAGCTATTACAGATTACACAATAAAACTCCAGAGGGATTTTGTAGGGTATGGTTAGAGCAGACTATGGGTAGCTTTGTTCTCTATTTTCCAAATGTTCAGTCATATATTTCTATAAAATATATCTTTAATTTTAATTCCAGTATGGTTACCATACAGTGTTGTATTAGTTTTAGATGTACACTATAGTGAGTCAACAATTCCATACAGCACACAGTGCTCATCACAAGTGTACTCCTTGATCCCCATCACCTATTTCACCCACTCCTGACCCCCTTCCCGCCTGGTAACCATCACTTTGTTCTCTATAGTTAAGAGTCTCTTTCTTGGCTTCTTTTTCCTAAAATATAACTTTAAAAACATATTGGATAGATCCTCTATGGGAAAAATCTTTGTTGCCCTGTATCACGTTCCCAGTAAGGGAGGCCCTAAAGATGGAAGGATGACCCTGCAAATCATCCTCTATACTGGGCTCTTATTGTACCCTGTTTTCCCCTCCAGTAACTTTCATCAAACTTATGTTTCTTTAATGTCTATATTCCCCCACCAGACTATAAACAGAAATCGTGGCTGTCCAGTAGGCACTCTGGATTTATCTGATGCTGTGAGAACCGGATGTGAGAGCAACCAGTTTTGAACTTACTTATGCTATACAGGCCCAGAGAGTCTTCCAGAACAAGTCTGTTTTCAGCTCACACTGACCAACGTTTCAGTAAGACTAACTTCTAGCCTGGCTGCAGGATCAAGAACCTGAATTTAAGACAAATGGAACAGAGTATGTGGACCAGTACTAGCAACTAAAAGGAAGTGTCAAAGGACATTTACATAGCTAGCCTTCTGGATGTCAGCAGGAATTGTAGATGATAGCAACCTTGCCCTATATACCATATGTTGCTAAGCCCTGGTCTACATGTGTCTAATGGATGGGATCTTCTGCTTAAGGTTGACTTCTTTAAATAATGAATATATTAGTAATATCTTAACCTGCATGTTTATAAATAAACAAATAATGTTTGTGAAATGTAGACAAGTATCAGAAAAGTTTTTAGTTGGTGAACCACCTATGGTTGCTTGCTTAAAATGTCCACTCCTCATCTGGCCAATAGAAATCCTATCCAATTTTAAGGTCTCCATTTAATGGCAATTCTTTCCTATGCCCTTAAAGCCTCCTCCTACAATTACCCCTTTCCATCAAGTAGTATTACATTGTAACTGTTTGATCCTCTTATTCAACAAGTACATACTAAGTGCAAGACACTCAATATAGTCTCTGAATACAAAAATGAATCAAAGATCCTGCCCTCAATAAGACTGAGAACGTACTAGGAATATTGAAATACACACAAATTGTGGGGGGCACTTGGCTGGCTCAGTCAGTAGAGCATGAGACGCTTGATCTCGGGATCATGAGCTCAAACTTAAAAGAAATAAAAATAAAAAATAAAATCTTAAAAAAAAGAAGAAAGAAATATGCACAAATTAACTCCACAGCTCTCTGAATTAGAGCTCTTGGCTGTAAATAATGAAACAGACTGATTGGTAGACTATACGGTAAGCTAACAGAATCAGTAGGAAAACCTGTGAACCAAGCACAGATAATGAACAAGAACCAAGGGATATGGGCAGCAGGGAACATAGGCAAGGTCATGTCACAGAAACAGTCTGGCCACTCCGGCCACCACCTCCAGCAGTAATTTCTAATTTCTTGTCCACCCCAATCCTTCAAGATCCTGTGTCCTGATCAAGAATATATAATTAGGGGCGCCTGGGTGGCTCAGATGGTTAAGCGTCTGCCTTCGGCTCAGGTCATGATCCCAGGGTCCTGGGATCGAGTCCCGCATCGGGCTCCCTGCTCCTTGGGAGCCTGCTTCTCCCTCTGCCTCTCTCTCTCTCTCTCTCTCATGAATAAATAAATAAAATCTTTTTAAAAAAAAGAATATATAATTAGGGTGCCTGGGTGGCTCAGTCGGTTAAGCATCAGCCTTCGGCTCAGGATCCCAGGATCCTGGGATCCAGTCCCGCATCGGACTCCTTGCTTGGTGGGGAGTCTATTTCTCCCTCTGCCCCTCCTCGCACTCCTTCTCTCATCTCTCTCTCAAATAAATAAAATCTTTTTTTAAAAAAGAATATATAATTAGCTAATGATGAGGAAAGGAGTGTCTGGCTCTGCCTCCCACGTAGACATATTGGGGTATAGGCCATGAGCTGCCCCAAATGGAAGAGCTGGATATTTGTCTTCTATCGCTGCTTAACAGATTATCACAAATTTAGTGGCTTAAGACAACACAAGTGTATCATCTTACTTTCTAGCGGACAGACTGCAACAGTGGTCTCAATCTTAAGGTGTTGGCAAGATTGTACTCTTTCTGGAAGCTCTAGGGGAGAATCCAGCTCTTACCTTTTCCAGATGCTAGAGGATGCCCACTTTCCTTGTCTCCCTGCCCCTTTCCAGCAAAGGCATCCCTCCAACCCCTGCTTCCATCCTCATAACTCTGCCTCTGCATCTGATCCTCTGCCTCCCTCTTTATAAGGATGCTGTATTACATTTGTTCCACCTGGATAACCCAGGGTAATCTTCTCATCTTAAAATCCTTAACTTGATCACACTCTGCAAAGTTCCTTTTGACATATAAGGTAACATATTCATGGGTTCAGGCGATTAGGACATGGATATCTTTGGGGGAGCATTATTCTGTCTTCCAAAAAAAAAAAAAAAACACCAAAACCAACGATATCCAATACACTTTCTGCTAGCAACTATAATTTTTATATTCCTATGTCTTTTTTCCTCTGCTAAATTATAAACGTGAGGGAAAAAGGCCAGCCTTAAATAATTTGGGAATAAATATTATCCAAATTATTTATTTTTATATAAATACATATTTATATCCATAAAATCCAAATTATTTATATATCTAATATATATAATGTTTTATATATTTGTATATATTTATACAGATAAATATATCCTGGAACAGTACTTTGCCTATAAAATGTGTTCAATAAATATTTCCTAAACGAATGCATGCCCTACTTTTGGGTCAACAGATGAGGCAAATTATATTAGGGTGAATCCTATGCTACTATAACAAAGAGGCCCCAAAATTCAATAGCTCAAAGAAGATAACAGATTATGGAGGAGTGGGGGAAGAACAATATCTCTACTTCATGAGGTTGTTGAGAGACCAACATTCCACCCATAAAGTTCTTCTGCTATCCCCAAAAGAAGCGCTTCGCAAAGTTTAATGAGAATGTAAATCACCTGAGAGCTTGTTAAAATGCAGATTCTGATTCAGTAGGTCCTGGATGAAATTTAAGATACTAACAAGCTTTCAGGAAATCACTATTTTAAGCAGTAAGGCATTAAGGGACTTGTCTTTTTCTACTTGGTTGAAGATGGACTGCGGGCACATCTGAGATTCAGCTCCCAGGAAGAAGAAATAGAAGGGTAAAAAAAAGCACAGGGCAGCAATCTCCTTTTAAGCAAGAGTAATGGGAGGGATGTGCGTAAATCACTTCCAATTCACATTTCATCATTGGTGAAAACAGTTAAATGGCCTAACTGCACGGGCGTCTGGGAAATGTAGTCTCTAACAGGGCAGGGGTATTTCTCAAGCTTATACTCTACCATTATGCAAGAAGGAGAAAATGGACTTTGGTATAAAACCAACAATCTCTGGATGCAAATGTTGAATTCCTTTGCAAGTAATATTCAAGCTTATGAAGTTTTCTTAAAACACGTGACAAAATTCCTAGGTGTTTCGTGTTCTCACCCGTAAAATGAAAATTATATTATCTGTCTCTGGATGCTCTCATTGTTGTAAGATTTAAATCATTAGCTGAGTGCATATATGTTGGGAATAATGACCAAATAGAGCTGAT